CTAGTTTTTATTCGTTGACTAAAATGTCAATAGATTTTTGTCATTCAAAATTAGTTTTTATTTAGTTATCGTCTCGTTTTCGTTTGTGAAAAACTGTCATTAACGAATAATTTTCGTCATTATTTTCGTCAACAAAATTAACACTGGTTCTTACTGGATCGCTTCCCAAATCGTCACTATCTAACATTTTCGTCTAGTTTTTATTCGTCAACTAAAATGTCAATAGATTTTTGCAACACTATCTCACGACCAATTCGTACGAATTCGACGCATGATTAAAAAGTGGCTAATTCGTACTAATTCGTACGACCTCACTCGTACTAATTCGTACGATTTGTCTAAACCCACGTGATGGTTAGGTTTAGGGGCGGGGTAAGGGGTAGGTCATTCGTACGAATTCATACGAATTGGCCAATTCGTAAAATATGTACGATTTAGCAAAATCGTATTAATTCGTACGAGTGAGGTCGTATGAATTCTTACGAATTAGCCACTTTTTAATCATTCGTCGAATTCGTACGACTTGGTCGTGAGATCGGGTTGGATTTTTGTCATTCAAAATTAGTTTTTATTTAGTTATCGTCTCGTTTTCGTTTGTGAAAAAATGTCATTAACGAATAATTTTCGTCATTATTTTCGTCAACAAAATTAACACTGGTTTTGACTGGATCGCTTCCCAAATCGTCACTATCTAACATTTTCGTCTAGTTTTTATTCGTTGACTAAAATGTCAATAGATTTTTGTCATTCAAAATTAGTTTTTATTTAGTTATCGTCTCGTTTAACGAATAATTTTCGTCAACAAAATGAACACTGGCTCTACTGGTGAAGAAAGCAGTGGAAGGCTCACCAGCAGCAGAGCGAAGGGAATCGCTATTCCCATCAGTAACTGGTAAGATATGGTGTCTTCTTTGAAAGGGTATTTGATGGTGTCGTCGCTGCAAAAAAACCCTCTTTTGAACGGCGTGTGCCGAATATTCAAGACCGCGAATGGAAGTCCAGCTGCAAAAGAAGAACGTCTCACATTTACAGGCCTGTATACAGTCAAACCGCACATTATTCAGACGCCAGATATGTTCAGGACACTATAGTTGATTTGTGTAAGTGAGGAGAGCAAAATAAAGTAAAGTGTGCCATATTCCAGCCAAATCTTCTTCATCCAGTGACTACAGTAACAATGATTCCTCCACTTTGAGCTGAAGTGTGTTTTCTGCTCTTTTTACACACACACTGAACAACATGAAGCATTGCTTGAGCTAAACTGCTATTATCTAATTGTGGAGTTCAATTGAACAGCTGACAGATATTCAACATAATTCATGTGTGAGAGTCCAACAGAAGGACGGACAAAATGAGTTCTGCTCACATTTTATACACTATAGCGAATAAACCGGGATAGGAGAAATGTTGAAGCTGTCTGAATATATTCTGGTTTGACTGTATATCACCGTTACAGCTGAAACATGGCATAGAAGAACTTTAATTTCATGTTATCACAGTAAAAAACGTTGAGTTGCACATATTGGGTCATTATGTTGGGTAATTTTAAACATCGTTGGGTAATTTTTCTTATATATAATAAGAGGAACAGAGTGTTTCAGTGCACATTCAGTGTGATAATCAAATGACTTCACATGATTTCAATCAAGTGTTCAACAATAGAGGTTAGACAAAGCCTCTGTATTCTGTCTGGCCAGACGAGGCTTATTATTCTAGCGTTCGGCATCCACTTTCACTGGGAATTACAATCTCTTGCCCACAAACATTCTATGCATTTCTATTCAAGATCTAATAATGCATTTAACACTAAGCGAATAGTGAAGTGGCTGTAAGCTAACAAAAAGCTTGTGTGACCCATGTGAACCACAAAACCATGGGTGTATCTGTGGCAATACACTGTATGGGTCAAAATTATCGATTTTTATTTTATGCCAAAAATCATTAGGATGTTAAGTAAACATCATATTCCATGAAGATAATTTCGTACCGTAAATATATCCAAAAAATGTTTGTGTGAGTGGATGCAGCGACATCAAGGACTTCATTTGCGCAACTTTAGAGGTGATTTTCTCAATATTTAGAATTTTTTGCACCCTCAGATTTTCAATACTTGTATCTTGGCCAAATATTGTCCTATCATAACAAATCATTCATAAATATTAATTTTGTCGTATTTATTCAGCTTTTAGATGATGTATAAATCTTTTTTAATGTACCCTTAAGACTGGATTTGTGGTCCAGGTTCACATTCGTTCTAAAACATTTAACTAATGTTTCCATTATGTTATGAAAACGCTACTTTTAAATGTCAAAAACAACAGTTTTGGTGACGCGAACGTTCTATTGTATCATTCACTCTTCAAACATTATGCGAACGTTACTTTTAAATGTTCGTTCTGAAAGTAGCAACTTAACGTTTTATCAATGATGTCGAACTAAAACATTTAAGACAAAAACCTTCCACGAATGTATAAATAATGTTTTTTGTGCTGATGTTTTGAGAATATTAAGACCAGAACGCTCTGGAAGAACGTTTTTTCTTAACTTTGTTTCTTTTTCCAGAACGTTTATAGCTAAAATGTATGTGCTTTACTAAACAAACATGTGTGAATGTAAACGCAACTTATCTGTGAACACCTTCTCTTATCTCACCTCATAAAAGAACAATATCTCTATACAAACTTCTGCAGTTTTCCGAGTATAATAATGAGATGTTGGATTTCATCACATGTGTGTAAAGGTAATCTGCATGTGGATTGAGAGTGACGTATACATGTTGAGAGTATGAATATGCATGTCAATACAGTAAAGCTTCTCTAATGTTCATTGTGCGGATCTTCATCACTGTGGAACATTGTTACATTCAACAGATCAATAGGAATCTGAAACAATGCATTAAATCAATCCGATCAAATGACGAAAATAATCAGATACGACGAATTAAAGAGGCGAACCGCGGCCAGAGGAGTGTGTGTGTGTGTGTGTGTGTGTGTGTGTGTGTGTGTGTGTGTGTGTGTGTGTGTGAACTCTCACCGAGCAGCAGACAGCTGACGTCCACACTAATGCTCCAGAATCCTTTAGTCTCGAACATTCTCAGTTCCTCAGAAACACCGGAGACTGAAGAACTTACAGTTGAACATTAATCTTCATCAGATAAAACGATGAAAGATGTGCGACGCTATTTCACTTATTAACGGAAACACATTAGTTAAGATATATATATCATCTGATCATCGAGCGAGAAAAAACACCCGGCTGGGGTTTCCGTTCCTGCCGTTATGAACGAGCGCGAATCTAGAGTTTTATGGAAGTGTTCCGATGTTTGTCCGTTACATCCACTTCTCCGGTTACTTCATATCGCACGATGATGAGGTCAATCCCTCCATCTGTCAATCATCTACTACACGCCCCGCCCACCGCTTCCTCTTCCTCAGATGCTTCTGCTTTCTCACTCACTTTCATTACACTCAAAATACGGTTAAAACTGAAGTGATATTATATATATATATATGCATTTTTATGTACAGATCTACAACATTATAGCGATTTCGCGGGACAGTGAAACATAACGGAGAAAAATAAAATAAAATAAAAAACAAGCTACTAAGTCAAGTTATATAGCCAAACAGAGGTCATATATTTATATAATCACGGCAAGTTCATTTAAATGGCGCTTTATGCAATGCAGACTGTTTCATAGCAGCTTCACATTAACAAAAAGGGAAATAATAACAATCAATTATGCAAACTTACAGTTCATTTTTCTTTTTAAAAAGTGAATGGGGGAACATTAAGGCAGCGTTTTATCTATTTTATCATTTTGCAAATATTATACTTTTGATTAGCTAAATTGTTTTCTAAAAAAAAAATGCTGATGTTTTGAGAACATTATTAACCCTTGTGCATCCTTATGGACATTTTTGTCCATTTCAGTTTTGTTTTTTGATCACTTTGCCTGTGTTAAAGCTTACTGCAAAAAACTTGGCACAGGTGTGTATTTTTGATTGGAATTTTACTATTTCACCGTCATTTTCGTAAAAAAAAAATAATTGTTGCATTAGGTACAAAAAAATACAACCTCTCAGCACCTTTTGGACAAAAATGTCCCCATTGAAACCCATTAAAACTGCCATTTTTAATCCCCGGTTCAGTTAACTATAAAATTATGCAATCTTTGTTAAGAGGCTTTCATTCCGATGGCAAGGCTTCAAAATTTTATTTTTTACTATTTTTTTATCAGATGGTGTCATTTTTTTTAAGTTTGGCCTATAAAACAAATATCGCTTTATTCCTGTTTTCTGCTTCGGTATATTATAGAGCCGACTGGATAAATTATGCAACAATATTTGTGTGGGTGTGTTGGTATGGATGTCAGAGTGTGGTTAGTATGTGTGTTATAAAAAGATATGTGTGTTTGTTTGTAATACTGAGAGAGAAAAACTGCAATCACTGTGATCTCCAGTGGGGTTTTGCTGCCACCCAATGGGGAAAATATGTTACTACACCCAAACAAACTGTTACCGAAAGCTCATTTTTTGAGATATCATCCTCAAATTTGTAACACAACCTATTTAGATTTATGGCTTTGATTTTATTGCAGTTTTGAGTTCAACCTGATTTATAAAATATATATTTTATATAAAATATTTTTTTTATAAATAATTGTCATAAAATTAACATGAACCTATATAACTTTTTTTTGGATTTACTTATTATTTTTTTACTTCAGCAATAATCTGCAAAGGGTCTTCTTTAAAATGATACCAAACTAAAGTCTGTGCTCCAAAGCGTCACATTTTTATGAGTTTTTTGACATGCACATTTTTGTCCTCTTTTTACCTACGTGTAACTTTTTTTAATTGATGCACAAGGGTTAAAAACCAGATAACTTTAAATGAACGTGTTTTACCACACACACACACACAGACAGTTTTCAGCTAGAAAAAGAAGTTCTTCCCGTTCAACTAAATGTGACGCGTCACAATAAATGCACACATTAGTGCAGTCACACACTTGATTGTTTAATGAACAGGAACACAGTGATGTGAAGAGCACTGCTTATGTTTTTAATTAACACACAGAACATAAAGATCTCAAGAGAGAGAGAGACTTTTTAGAAAACAGACGATAATCAAAACAGAGACTTGAACTGGCCGTCCGTCACACGTCCAACACAACTAGTGTTATAAACACATCTCCGTGTGTGTGAAGAACAGGCGTGTTTACTCTGATAAAGTGTATATAAAGTGAGTTTGAACATGACGAGGACGCCTCACGATCCGATCATGTCGTAGACGTAGATGTGATAGTCGTCGTCGAACTTGATGAAGTAGACGGAGGGTTTGGCCTGGACCTGCTGGATGATGGTGCCCATCCTCTGCGTGCCCTCGGGGTTCTGGCACTCCACCTGCTTCCCCACCAGCGACTCGCTGACCTCTCCGGGCTCCCGCACCTCAGCCGGATCCTCTGCGGGTCAGAACCACACCAGACATTCAATACACATCAAATATGTCACAATAACTCACACGGCGGTCTTCTTCGTGGAATATGATTCTACGGAAGAGGATTAGGGCCAAATAATAATAAGAGGAGAGATTAAAGTCATTTTTATGCGAAATTAAACTTCGAAATAATTGTGAGGATAAACTCAACTAAAATAGACTTTATTCTCGATATTTAATGAGTTCATTCTCAAGATTGTATTTCAACTTTTTTCACGAAATGTTATGTTTTTTTTTTTTTTAAAACACAACAATTTTATTCTCGATATTTAATGAGTTCATTCTCAAGATTGTATTACACATCAAATGTTACAATAACTCATACGGCGGTCTTCTTCGTGGAATATGATTCTACGGAAGAGGATTAGGGCCAAGCAATAATAAAAAATAAAACAATTAAAAAGTCATTATAATGCGAAATTAAACTTCGAAAAGTCAAAATAATCGTGAGAATAAACTCAACTAAAATGGACTTTATTCTCAAAATTTATTGAGTTTATTCTCAAGATTGTATTTAAACTTTTTTTCTCCAAAAACGCGACTTTATTCTCGATATTTAATGAGTTCCTTCTAAAGATTGCGAAAAATGTAACATTTTTCCAGAAATTTAACAAGTTTAATTTTGCATTATAATGACTTTAATGTCAAGATTGTTTAATTTTTTTATTATTGTTTGGCCCTAATACTCTCAAAAATGTCTTGAGAATAAACTATCGTTGCTAAATACATATATATATATATATATATATATATATATATATATATATATATATAAATGTATGGCATATATTTCGTTTAATGGCATATATATATATATATATATGGCATATATTTAGTTTAATGGCATATATATATATATATATATATAAAAATGTATGGCATATATTTAGTTTAATGGCATACATATATATATATATATATATATATATATATATATTTATAAAAATATATGGCATATATTGTTTAATGGCATATATATATATATATATGTATGGCATATATTTATTTTAATGGCATATATATATATATATATATATATATATACAGTATATATAAATATAAATGTATGGCATATATTGTTTAATGGCATATATATATATATATATATATATATATATATATATATATATATATATATATATATATAAATAAAATGTATGGCATATATTTATTTTAATGGCATATATATAAATAAATGTATGGGATATATTTATTTTAATGGCATATATATATATATATATATATATATATATAAATATAAATGTATGGCATATATATATATATATATAAATAAAATGTATGGCATATATTTATTTTAATGGCATATATATATATATATAAATAAATGTATGGGATATATTTAGTTTAATGGCATATATATATATAAATAAATGTATGGGATATATTTATTTTAATGGCATATATATATATATAAAAATGTATGGCATAAATTGTTTAATGGCATACATACATATATATATATATATGCGCGAGTAGGTTTCTAGGAGTTTGTCAGTGGGATGTGTGCTGGTCACTGCCCCAGTCGGTCCTCACCGGACTCTTGGAGGATACGCAGGTCTCCGTCTTTATAGTCCTGCATCAGCTGGTACATGTACAGCATCGGGTCCTTCTCGTAGGTGATGAAGAACCACGCAGGCATGCTGGGAGCTCTGGCCAGAACCAGCCCCTTCCACTCGTCCTTGGACCCGCCGTCCGTCTCGAACAGGTGGACCACGGGCCGCCCCAGGAGCCGGTCCGCCAGACGAGTGTCGCTGACCCGGAACGAGGCGATCTCCCCGGGCAGAACCTCCAGATCCTGGACCCGCGGGTCTCGGAAGATCTCCAGGCCGTACACGCAGTCCACGTCGTCGTACTTGATGAGGTAGAGGGAGGCGTTGACCGACACCTGGACCAGAACCGTCCCGGTCCAGCGCGACCGCGGCCCGGAGCCGTCCTCCCTCCAGCGGTGCCGGATCCGACAGCCCACCACACTGCCACCGGGACACGAGGACGGGCCCACGGGGTGTGTGTGTTTGTGCCTGTTAATGCACACACCGCATGACAGGAGCGAGTTCTCACACACACACACACACACACACACAGAAGACTTCTTGATTATTGTACTCACCTGTGCGCGCTCTTCCTCTTCATCACGGACCGGCCGCCCGACTCTCCAACTGAGCAGAACAAAACACCAGATGAGGTCACGCGTTAGTGCAGGTTTATAGTGCACACTACTGAGGCGGCGTCTGACCTGCAGTGTGTTTGGGACGACCCCCGTACGAACTCTCCATCTGACCCAATCAAACCCGCCGCTGACGACCCTGTGCGCAGAAATCAGACACACTTTACCCGAGCCCGGACATGTTTCATATAACTCTGTGTTCATCTGATAGAAGAGTGTCATACACACTAGAAAACTATCCCTTTAACTAGCAGTGAGTAATGCATTTGTTACAGTATCTTTGTTAAAGTTACTTAAAATAAAGTAAAATAGGCTACAGCTGTTCATTGTTAATTCATGTCAGCTCAGATCCATTAAATCCATAAATGAGTCCAGGGAAGTTTAGAGAAAAAAACACCAAAATAAAGTAAAATAAATGAATTCACTTGGTTAAAACAATAAAAAATGAATAATGTAACATAATAGAAACTAAATAATTTCAGCCTTATTTTACACATATTTATGTTTTTTTTTCCCCCCCGAAGGTTCATGCAGGCTTAAATCAATTAAATCAGGGATTTTCTAACAAGGGAAGTTTAGAGAAAAACATGTACAAAAAAAAAAAATCATAATTATAATAATAAATACGTGTTTTAAACAAAAACAATGTTTATTATAATGTTAAAAAAAATATTGTAAAAATTAATAAAAACAAAATAATTTCATTTATTTTACATTTTCACAGTACAAATAGGCTTTTTATAGATTTTAAATGTACTTTTACATCTCGCATGAGACTGATCATATGTTTCTCTATTGAAAAGCCTAGCATCAAATAACATTTAACAGAACTATTTTTCTTTGTTAGTTCATGTCAACTAAAGATAAAGAAGTCAACTAAAGTTAACAAATGCAACCCTATTGTGTAGCCCTTATCAAGAAACCTAGTGAGCTGAGCTCCCTACCTAGACAGCACTTTTGAGCATGCACTAACAAAACAGCACTACGTGTTAAAAGACCGTGAGTTCGGACATGTAACTTACCATGGTATTTTTTTAAAGGTACTTCTTTAAAGTACAAATGCTTTTTAAGTCAGTAAATTAAATTATGAGGCATTACATTAACTTAAGAAGTGTGTGAATGAAGTGGTAAAAGCTGCTTCTGCTTCAACACAATGCAAACATGCGCGTGCCCACACAAACAACAAACACACAGACAGTCTCTCTCACTCACACACACAACTCAATCATACACACCTCACTGTCCGGGTTTCATTGCAAACTTATGCCACTGTCGCACTTCTTCACACTGTTTTACACAATGCACGAATCTAACAAACTAATTCGGCAAAAGCCAGTTTCCCTCGAGAGCGCGTGTCCACTGCACAGCGCGGGAACGGGCCGGCTGACGTGAGCGCGCCTCAAAACAATCAAACGCACGCGACACAAAATATAAGTTTGAAAGCGACGTTATTTTCTCAGTAAATACAGAATGGTATTTTTTTCCCCGATCTGTTGTATTTTACTCATAAAATAAATATTTTATATTTCTCATACTAAAATAAATAAAAAGTAAATGTATCTTTATCAGTTGGTCTGGAACAAAATAAGAAAGTGAATTAAAAACGTAGTGAACAAATTCAGCTTAAATTTAGCTGTCTTGTCTCGTCGTAATTGTGACATAAAAATTTGAATGTATTACTATAAAAGTCGAAATTTTAATTTGTATATTTTACATTTATATTATTATGCCATATAAGGTGTACGTCCACACATAAGGTTCGGTATTTGCACTTACTTCAGATTTGCTGTTCCTCAGTTAAAAAAATAAATAAATAAATAAAGACTTTTATTTTGAAACGAACTCTGAAGTACTCAGACCCGGAAGCCGGACGTTGATGCGCAGGAATGTTGATGTTAGAAAGTGGAAGAGAAGAGCGATAACGAGAGCTGCTAGAGTTAATTAATTAATATCAATTACATCCGATCAGGATGATTGAGATCTCGTGCAGAATGTGAGGGTCGGACGGAAAACATCATGCCGTTCAAAAACATCAGGGTGAGTGACGTCATCGCACCTCAACATTCTCATTAAACACGGCGCTTTTATTGTACATGAAGGAAATGATGACGATCGAGGCTTTTTATTTGTGTTCTGTGATGTTTAATTCTGTCACGTGCTCAGAAAGAGCTATAATGACAGATTCATGTTCATGGTTTCTCTCTCTCTCTCTCTCTCTCTCTCTCTCTCACACACACACACACACACTCTTACACAATTACACTCACTCACTCACACACACATACATACTACTCACACACACTCCCACACTTACAGGTACACTCACAGACACACTCACACACTCTCTCTCTCACACACACATTCTCTCTCACACACACTCATACAGACACACATACAAATACACTCCCCCTCACACTGTCATGTTTCACAGCTGTGTGTGTGTGTGTTTTCCAGCAGCGCAGTGTGGGCCGGGCGAGGGTGTCTCATGCGGTGGCTGTGATCTTCCTGGAGTTCTTCGCCTGGGGTCTCCTGACCACGCCGATGCTGACGGTGCGTCTCACACACACACACATACACACACACACACACACACTGTTCTCTGACCTGTTCTTCATTACAGGTGCTGCACGAAACCTTCCCACAGCACACGTTCCTCATGAACGGCCTCATCCAGGGCGTCAAGGTCAGCCGCTCACAGATTTGCATGTCATTTGTGTTCGCTGTGGTTCTAGTGTGTGTGACAGACAGTTCTCCATCATTATGGGCTAGATATTAAAGTGTTAGTTGACCCAAAAATGAAAATTCTGTCAGTATTTCCTCACCCTCATGTTGTTCAACCCCGTAAGACCTTCGTTCATCTTCGCAACACAAATTAAGATATTTAAGATATTAAGATCACTCCTGCATACTAGTCCATAGGCTTCTTGACTCGAAAAGTCATTAAAGACATCGTTAAAATAGTCCAAGTGACTACAGCGGCTCAATCTTAACTTTATCAAACGACGAGAACACTTTTGTGCACAAAAAACAACAAAAATAAGGACTTTATTTCAACTATTGGTTTATTTCTCCCTCTCGCGAGTCAGGTTACTAGTTTAATAGCGTAAGCTTCTGTTATTGTACGTCACACGCATCATCACACACATGACCAGCGTCGGCCAATAGTGAGCCTACGTGTGACGTAGCTCTACGCAATCACACTACGTTAACTGACTACAGGCTCATGGAGAAGGAAGTGAATAGTTGAAATAAAGTCCTTATTTTTGTTTGTTTTTGCGCACAAAAGTGTTCTCGTCGTTTGATAAAGTTAAGATTGAGCCGCTGTAGTCACTTGGACTATTTTAACGATGTCTTTAATGACTTTTCGAGTCATTCCCTCAAGAAGCCTATGGACTAGTATGCAGGAGCGATCTTAATATCTTAAATATCTTAATTTGTGTTGCGAAGATGAACGAAGGTCTTACGGGGTTGAACAACATGAGGGTGAGGAAATACTGACAGAATTTTCATTTTTGGGTGAACTAACACTTTAACTGTCCTGTTTCTCTTACTGTGTAAAAGCCAGTTTTGCATTGAATGTCATAACCGGAGTGTGTGTAGTCGTAACCGGAGTGTGTGTGCTGTGTTTGCAGGGTCTGCTGTCGTTCATGAGCGCTCCTCTGATTGGGGCCTTGTCTGATATTTGGGGCAGAAAGAGTTTCCTGCTGCTCACTGTGTTTTTCACCTGCGCCCCAATCCCACTGATGAGGATCAGCCCGTGGTACGCGTGTGTGTGTGTGTGTGTGTGTGTGTGTGTGTGAGAGAGAGAGCTCCATCACATGACTCTCGTGTGACTGGTCTCTTGTACTCCAGTGAGGATGAATGCACTGATTCACAGACTGACTCTGATTGGTCGATAGTTTGAGCTCTTCTACAGCACCGGACCAAACAAACCAAATGTGGGACAATTTTGTGTGGGACATGTTACCAACACTAAAACATACCCGGAAACTGTTATATAATGTCTATATAACTTAGTAAAAACATTTATATTCTGCCTTTCAGCTGATAAAAATTATTTGTTTTTTAGTCCCTTCCAGAAAAAAAATCTTTTTTTTTCTCCAAAAAAAGTAATTTAAATTCAGCATCACTGAGCCCAAAGGCAGCAGGAATCATGTATATAAATATTTTAGAAACAGTTCTGACCAAGTCCAACAAAATAAACAATGAACAAATAAAATATAAAACAACTTTGAATTAGATAGACGGGCTTATATACGATTATATTAAAAACCAAAACCAAAAACGTGCATATTTTTAGAAAGGATGTGAATTAAAACGACCTCTGCAGGTTAAACAACAACAGATACATTCCATTAATTTAACGAATTATCCATTTGTTTTCTGACGGGGAACATATATGAAACGAATTACCGGTCCACATTTTGATTGACAGCCGTCACAACCAACCAGTGACCGTGTTTACTCCTTTCTTCACCATTGGATAGTGTATACGTTAGCTAAAACACAGCTGTTGTATTTGTACTCATGACGAAGCGCTGCAAACTACGCAGCAAAAGTAGAATGTTTTCTTAAAAAGGCAAAAGAACGCATGCACGTTTTCTTGATATTAAAAACTAATAGACTGATGAAAATGCGGGACATTTCCTCAGTATGCGACGTGCGGGACAAGAGGTGAAAATGCTGTGCAGTACAGCGCAAAGCGGGACGGGTGGTCACCCAAGGACCTGTCCGTGTTTCTGTTGTTAAAATCAACTGATTGGTTCAGCATAAAAGTGATGTGTGTGTGTGTGTGTGTGTGTGTGTGTGTGTGTGTGTGTGTGTGTGTGTGTGTTCCTGTCTCTCTCCATCAGGTGGTTCTTTGCTCTGATGTCGGTGTCTGGCCTTTTCTCTGTTACATTTTCTGTGATATTTGCGTATGTGGCTGATATTACAGAAGAGCATGAACGAAGCACAGCGTATGGACTGGTGAGACACACCTCGCACACACACAAACACGCTCTCACACTCATACATGCATAAACACACTCTCACTCACACACAGCTCATATGCAGATGTACTTTTGCATCATAGAATTGAAATGAGTCTCATATGTACGGAGGCGTATTGCATTCACTTGAAGAAAAAAAATCTACTCTGTTTTTCTGAATTAACGAGTTAATTTTTCACGAGAAAAAAAGTTTTTGCTCTGTTTTTCTGAATTAATGAGTTAATTTTTCATGAGAAAAAAAAATTTTCTCTGTTTTTCTGAATTAATGAGTTAATTTTTCATGAGAAAAAAAAATTTTCTCTGTTTTTCTGAATTAATGAGTTAATTTTTCATGAGAAAAAAGTTTTTGCTGTTTTTCTGAATTAACGAGTTAATTCAGAAAAACAGAGCAAAAAAAAAATTCCATGAAAAATTAACTCGTTAATTCAGAAAAACAGAGCAAAAACTTTTTTTTCTCATGAAAAATGAACACGTTAATTCAGAAAAACAGAGCAAAAAATTTTTTTCTCATGAAAAAACAGAGAAATTTTTTTTCTCATGAAAAATGAACTTGTTAATTCAGAAAAACAGAGCAAAAAAATTTTTTTCTCATGAAAAATTAACTCGTTAATTCAGAAAAACAGAGCAAATTTTTTTTTCTCATGAAAAATTAACTCGTTAATTCAGAAAAACAGAGCAAAAAAAATTTTTCTCATGAAAAATTAACTCATTAATTCAGAAAAACAGACATTTTTTTTTCTCATGAAAAACGAACTCGTTAATTCAGAAAAACAGAGAAAAAATTTTTTCTCATGAAAAATGAACTCATTAATTCAGAAAAACAGAGCAAAAAAAAATTCTCATGAAAAATTAACTCATTAATTCAGAAAAACAGAGAAAAAAAATTTTTCTCATGAAAAATTAACTAGTTAATTCAGAAAAACAGATAAAAAAAATTTTTCTCATGAAAAATTAACTCATTAATTCAGAAAAACAGAGTAGATTTTTTTTTTCTTCAAGTGAATGCAATACGCCTCCGTACATATTAGATAAAGTTTGCATCATTGATTTTGTTGTTTTCCTGTTTATTACTGTGAAGCTGCTTTAAATCTCCATATGCTTCACATATTTACGCTTTTATCCAGAGTGACTCGCATTGCATTTCAAGCTCCACATGTACATTCTTATGAGTGCTTGCTTCCCCTGGGAATCAAACCCATGACCTTGGCGTTGCAAGCGGCAGTCTGAGCTCCAGGAAAGCTTTAGTCTCTGTGTTTCATCTCTCGGGTTGTTTGGTGTTTCAGGTTTCGGCGACGTTCGCAGCGAGTTTGGTGACGAGTCCGGCTATCGGCGCGTTCCTGTCGGCCCGGTACGGGGACAGTCTGGTGGTTCTGCTCGCCACCATCATCGCAGTGGCCGACATCCTCTTCGTCCTGCTGGTGGTGCCCGAGTCTCTGCCCGACAAGATGAGGCTGTCGTCGTGGGGTTTCCCCATCTCCTGGGCGCAGGCGGACCCGTTCGCTGTGAGCTACACACTCTTCATACACACAATAAACACTAAAATTCATCATGTCGACAGATCATTATAATCAAACTGTCACAACACAGTGATCTTAAAGGATATTTTAGACTGTATACAGGTGAAACTCAAAAAATGAAAAGTTAATTTATTTCAGTAATTCAACTTAAAAGCTGAAACTAATATATTATATAGACTCATTACAAGCAAAGTGAGATATTTCAAGCCTTTATTTCTTATAATTGTGATGATTATGGCTTACAGATATGAAAACCTTTTCACAATATTCTAATTTTGAATTTGGGGTTTAAGCCATAATCATCACAATTATAACAAATAAAGGCTTGAAATATCTCACTTTGCCTGTAATGAGTCTATATAATATATTAGTGTCACCTTTTAAGTTGAATTACTGAAATTAATGAACTTTTTTTGAGTTTCACCTGTATGTAGATTTCAGGAACCCGTGTTATAGCGCCACCGGTGGCCGTTTAGCGAACTGCACTCACTGTTCATGATCGTAACGTACGAAAGAACATGATTCGAGAAGTTATTTTCTGTTCTTCATAAACATAAACACAAAAATGAGAAAATAGCAGTTCAGGAAGCGTCTGATGACAGAGATGTGAATGTTTTACCAGCAGATGAGCTCATTAATCACTGTTATGATAGTTTAATTATAAACAATATTTGAGACTAAATAGATCTGGCTATGTGAGACTATAGATTGAATGAATCCCTTTTCTATGAATGACACATTGACATTACAGTCCAGAACGGCTCTTTCCCTGAACATTGTATAAGCATTTGTTCTTGTGTCGGGAGCGTAAACGTCATATCCGTCTGATTTTTACATATTGATATTTGACTTCAATCCACTCGAAACATGGACGTCAGATAAGTCATTTTTTAAGTGGATACATAAGTCATAAGTGGATACAGAAAACACATAAAACAGTTCAACATGGAGTTAGATAGAAACAAAAACCATCCGTTTCCCCTCTCACACACACACACACACACACACACACACATAAGTGTGTAATTTACTCAAATGCCTTTCCTTTCACATATTTAAAATGACTTGCAGATTTATAACTTTATCACCTCTGAGGACATTATGACTGTAGCAAAAGATGCGCTGATGCTCCTTTGGTTATGAACAGCTCGTGCGAGCGTGTGTGTGTGTGCACACCTCTGGTTGCAGTTTCGCTTGTTGCCAGAGGGGGCGTAGTTCTGCAAAAACTCAGAGACTTGTGCAATGCACCATTAAAGGGTTAGTTGACCCAAAAATGAAAATTCTGTCAGAATTTCCTCACTCTCATGTTGTTCAACCCCGTAAGACCTTCGTTCATCTTCGCAACACAAATTAAGATATTTAAGATATTAAGATCGCTCCTGCATACTAGTCCATAGGCTTCTTGAGGGAATGACTCGAAAAGTCATTAAAGACATCGTTAAAATAGTCCAAGTGACTACAGCGGCTCAATCTTAACTTTATCAAACGACGAGAACACTTTTGTGCACAAAAATAACGACTTTATTTCAACTATTCACTTCCTTCTCCATGGGCCTGTAGTCAGTTAACGTAGTGTGATTGCGTAAAGCTACGTCACACGTAGGCTCACTATTGGCCGACGCTGGTCATGTGTGTGATGCGTGTGACGTACAATAACAGAAGCTTACGCTATTAAACTAGTAACCTGACTCGCGCAGAGGGAGAAATAAACCAATAGTTGAAATAAAGTCGTTATTTTTGTGCACAAAAGTGTTCTCGTCGTTTGATAAAGTTAAGATTGAGCCGCTGTAGTCACTTGGACTATTTTAACGATGTCTTTAATGACTTTTCGAGTCATTCCCTCAAGAAGCCTATGGACTAGTATGCAGGAGCGATCTTAATATCTTAAATATCTTAATTTGTGTTGCGAAGATGAACGAAGGTCTTACGGGGTTGGAACAACATGAGGGTGAGGAAATACTGACAGAATTTTCATTTTGGGGTCAACTAACGCTTTAAGGTTGATCCTCTGAAGTCACGATGTCTTTACTACCAGTCTTTAAAAATATACCTCAGAAACGTCACTGCAGTGTGTAACTCTGTGTGTGTGTGTGTGTGTGTGTGTAGTCTCTGAGGAAGGTTGGGAAAGACTCCACAGTGCTGCTCATCTGCGTCACCGTGTTCCTGTCGTATCTTCCGGAGGCCGGACAGTACTCCAGCTTCTTCCTCTACCTGGGACAGGTGAGCGACGCTTTATAGCATCTAGCAATGTGGCGTCTGCCCAAACGCAACAGGATATTGAACAAGAAATAGACTAATTATGATTGAAAGGAATTATTCATAACCACCCTTATGAATTAGAGACTGTGTGTTGGTGTTTCAGGTCATTAACTTCTCATCTGAAGCAATTGCGGCGTATATAGCGATGGTGGGAATCCTGTCCATCATTGCACAGGTAAACTCTCGTCTTCACGACGCATTTATTCAAACATGCATCTGTAATTAACAGTAAATAAATTTTTTTATTGCTAGCTAATGAACTGTGAACACAATGAGGTTCATTCTCGTGTTGACCCTGGACCACAAACCCAGTCACATGACCCACGCCACGGGTATATCTGTGGCAATAACAAAATTATCCGTTTTTCTTTCATGCAGAAAATCAGTAAAGATTAAATTAAAAGTAAATTTCCTCCAGTAAATATATCAAACATTTGTTTCTGTGAGTGGATGAAGCACAAACGGGACATAAATGCACAACTTTTCCTCAATGTTTAGATTTATTTGCACCCTCAGATTATGGTGTATTGTGTATCTCGGCCAAATATTGTCATATCCTATCAAACCGTACATCAATGACAAGCTTATTTATTCAGCTTTCGTGTTAAATATAAATCTCATGACCCATGTGACTGGTTTTGTGGCTCACATATATGAATAAAAGCCTAAATCGGACCTGATCGTCGAGCCGATGTGACATTGGTGAATCCCCGTTCATGATCATGATTGTGTTTTTGCAGACGTTACTTTTAAGCCTTCTAATGAAGAGAATCGGCAATAAAAGCACCGTGCTTCTGGGACTGGGGTTTCAGCTGTTCCAGCTGGCCTGGTACGGCTTCGGGTCAGAACCATGGTGAGCTGCGTCTCCAATCTGAGTGTTTCGGATGAGTTGGGCTGGGCATCGAGTCACATGTTCCAATTCGATTCGATTCACAAGCTCTTAATTCATTTAGATTACTATTTTTTTTTATATTTTTTAAATTTAATACAAATCCTATATTTATAACAAAGAGCAGTGAACATAAGTTTACAAGGGGTTAATTAATAGCTTAGCCACAAACCTGTATATTAAACCAGGGTGTATACAGTAATCCTTAAGTTAAATTTACTACTTTTTGATACCTATTTTACTACCTTCAGAATTTTTTTTAAAACCGTCACGACACCGAATTGCAAGTGTTAACCAGCGACCTTTCTATTACACAGATTTTGACATTTATAACATACAAAAATGAATAGATTTAGAGCACGCATTACATTTTTATGTTTAGTGGATTGCATTAGCTCCCATCCAGTCGACATTGATGTTTTTTTACTAGGGCTGTGCAAAAGTTAATTGCGATTAATCGCATCCAAAATAAAAGTCTGTGTTTACATAATATATTTGTGTGTGCTGTATATAATTATTTTGTGTATATATATAAATACCTATGCATGCATGTATATATTTAAGAATTATTTGCGGTTAAATTCTGTATATATTTATAAATACATAATCTATATTATATAAATATAAATATTTTATATATGAATAACATATTTTCTTAAATATATACATGCATGTGTGTGTATTTATATATACAAAATAATTATATACAGCACACACAAATATATTATGTAAACAGAGACTTTTATTTTGGATGCGATTAATCGTAATTAACTTTTGCACAGCCCTATTTTTTACACACCAAACAATACAGGGAATGCATTGACATCACTTTCCCGCCAGTACAACCCCCCTCAACCTGACTGATCTGCTGCGTGATTGGATTTAATAGGGGAAACTATTAAACGAAAATGCGACTAAAACTAACAATTTGATCAATTTAAACTAAATGTTGGACTCAATATAGTTGGACTTACTAAAGATCCAGTGATCCGTGGATATTGACATGCAGCCAGCAATCGTGTCGCCTGACATTTATCTTTGCCTGATTTCAATAAAAGGGTATTCAATATATAGATCTAGATAGGCTAAAGCAAATTTGCCTGTGAACGCTTTATATAAATACAATACAGGTCGGTCTAAATCCGGGTGATCACTTATAACAGGGTTATATAGCCTCTATATATCGTCCATACACTGAATATGACGTAGACAGAGATGAAAGATCTTTGATTGTGCCCACATAAGCTAAAGCCCATATTTATACGGACTAACGCAAACACAGAATAGGACACCTGATAGTCTGAAAAAAAATAATAATACCTAATTTAAAAAAAATAATACATCTCAGACTACATTTAACACTTTTAATGGCCTTAAATTTGACAATTTTGATTTATCACTTTTTAAAACCCCGCGGACACCTTTTTATGTTAGGTACATTAAAACAGAACACAACTCTATATTTCAGATGCATACAATGAAGAGACAGGATTTTGATGCAGGATGATAAATTGAACAGTCAGAACAGTTGCACGCTTATTTTATGTTTTAGATTAAACACACAGAAAATCTCCCAGCATTCTCGGTAACATGGAGGCTCAAGCCTATGACCCGTGCAGGAACACTAATACTGGCTATTGGGTGTTAGATTAAAAAAATTAATTGTTTAATTGATTTTGATTCGACCACATTTTAAAAAAACGATTAATTAGAAAAAAAAAAGTTTTGCCCATCAGCCCTGTGGATGAGGTTTGTCTTGATCTGAATGACTGGCGTTGTTTGTAATGGAAAAGCGCCTGAACACATGAGGTCAGGTCTGTTGTGAAGGGATTGCCGGCCGGTGACTCGCTGGGTTTAAAATAGCGTGTGTGTGTGTGTGTCTCAGGATGATGTGGGCGGCCGGGACCGTCGCTGCCATGTCCAGTATCACCTTTCCCGCCGTGAGCGCGCTCGTCTCTCACTGCACAGATCACGACCAGCAGGGTAAGACTCCGACCACAGCGTGTGTGTGTGTGTGTGTGTGTGTGTGTGACGCTGACGACATACGGAGGCGTATTGCATTCCCTTGAAGAAAAAAAAATCTACTCTGTTTTTCTGAATTAACGAGTTAATTTTTCATGAGAATTTTTTTTGCTGTTTTTCTGAATTAATGAGTTAATTTTTCATGAGAAAAAAATTTTTTTCTCTGTTTTTCTGAATTAATGAGTTAATTTTTTATGAGAAAATTTTTTTTTTGCTCTGTTTTTCTGAATTAACAAGTTAATTTTTCATGAGAAATTTTTTTTTTGCTCTGTTTTTCTGAATTAACGAGTTAATTCAGAAAAACAGAGCAAAAACTTTTTTTCTCACGAAAAATGAACTCATTAATTCAGAAAAACAGAGAAAAAAATATTTTCTCATGAAAAATTAACTCATTAATTCAGAAAAACAGAGAAAAACTTTTTTTCTCATGAAAAATTAACTCATTAATTCAGAAAAACAGAGAAAAAAAAATTTTCTCATGAAAAATTAACTCGTTAATTCAGAAAAACAGCAAAAAAAAATTTTCTCATGAAAAATTAACTAATTAATTCAGAAAAACAGAGAAAAAAATTTTTTTCTCATGAAAAATTAAGTCATTAATTCAGAAAAACAGAGCAATTTTTTTTTCTCATGAAAAATTAAGTCATTAATTCAGAAAAACAGAGCAATTTTTTTTTTCTCATGAAAAATTAACTCATTAATTCAGAAAAACAGAGTAGATTTTTTTTCTTCAAGTGAATGCAATACGCGTCCGTAACGACACACTCCTGCTGCGGAAGACGGTTTTCTCAGCCTGAGAGCTGAAATTATGTACATTAACCATGATTTGAGTTCCCTCCAGAATTTAAGTTTACTCTCCCCCACATCATCCAAGATGTTCATGTCTGTCTTTCTTCGGTCGGAAAAGAAATGAAGGTTTCTGAGGAACACACTCCAGGGTTTCTCCATATAATGGACTTCAATGGGGTCCAAACGGGTCGAAGGTCAGATGTGAGCTTCAACGTCTCGACACGATCCAGCCGAGGAATAAGAGTCTGATCTACACAAACCAGCGACATTTACAACAAAACACACATTTATATACCAGTGTTGTAGTCGAGACCACCTCACTCGAGTCCGAGTCAAGACCGAGTCCATAGAGGGTCGAGTCCGAGACCAGAGACGGTCGAGTCCGAGACCAGTGAGGGTTGATTACCTAATTTACTTTTATTTACTTTATTTATTTATTTTTTTTACTGAATTTACTTAGAGTTTAAAAAATATGATCAGTTTAGGGTAAAAAGGCCACATAGTAGGTGGTGTTAAAAGTAATTTTATTACAATTTGTCATGCGCAGTTGCACACTAGAAAATCACCAATCACTGGGCGTGTCAATCGATTTAAAGAAATATTTTATTAACATACATTAATAATCATGAAAAATATTTTGAATTGAACTCGAGTGGACTCGGGAATAATTCCGAGTCCTAAAAAAAAAAAATTTCGAGTACGAGTCAATTCCGAGTCCAAATGGACACGAGTCCATGACAAGACCAAGACCATTAAAATATGGTCTCGAGACCGAGTCCGAGACGAGTCCGAGTCTCGAGTACTACAACACTGTTATATACTTTAACCACTAATGCTGGTCTTGCTCTCGCTGTGATGTAACGCACGTTATGTAATCAGGGTGAAAGGTCAAGCGGGACGTAGGCGTAAGAACAGACCCAGTGTTTACAAAGCAAACGTGCAAAGACTGAGTCAAACGGCATTCACAAAATGTATAAAAAATAAATAAAAGGTAAAACGACGATGTTGGACGATTTTTCAGTGTTTTTTGACCTTTCACCCTGATTACGTTCAGTAACGTGTGTCGCATCACAGCTCGAGCAAGACCAGCATTAGTGGTTAAAGTATATAAATGTGTGTTTTGTTGTAAATGTCACTGGTTTGTCTAGATCAGACTCTTATTCCTCGGCTGGATCGTGTCGAGACTCTGAAGCTCACATCTGACCTTCGACCCGTTGGACCCCATTGACGTCCATTATATGAAGAAACCCTGGCGTGTGTTCCTCAAAAAACGTAATTTCCACTGAAGAAAGACAGACATGAACATCTCGGATGACGTGGTGGAGAGTAAATTATCAAGAAATTTTAATTCATCCGTCTCTCTGTAATTTCTATATTTATTATATATTTATATATTTCTATATATATCTATTTATATTTATATATTGTAAAGAATATATATATATATATATATATATATATATATGTATATATATTCTTATATGTGTAGAGTTTTCATGGCATCTGTTTGTATATAGTTCACTGAGCCTTGATTTGTATCTGGTATGTTAACTTAAAATAAAAAATATTGATCACCAAAAAAAAGTGATTAAAATATCAATCCACATCAAACGGGAAGTAGCAAATTAAATTTTAGGGTGGAAAACCTCTGGTTCTCTGAGTTGATGGTTTGTGTGTGTTGTAGGAGCGGTTCAGGGAATGATCACAGGGATTCGAGGTCTGTGTAACGGACTCGGCCCGGCTCTCTTCGGATTCATATTCTTCCTCTTCAATGTGGAGCTGAAGGAGATGAGCCCCGTCCCGAACCCCGTCACGCCCGGCACCGAAGAGGTCAGAGTCTTCCAGTGTTATTCTTTCTGTACGATATTCCTGCAGCTTACTGCGTTATCAATACAGCGCTTTAACAGCATACACTCTCAGAAAAAAAGGTACAAAAGCTGTCACTGGGGCTGTACCTTTTTAAAAGGTAAACTTTTGTCCATTTTAGGTGTTAATATGTACATTTTAGGTAGTAATGTCAATTTTAGGTGTTAATATGTACATTTTAGGCGATAATATTTATATTTTAGGTGATAATATGTACATTTTAGGTGCTAATATGTCCATTTCATGAGCTAATATGTCCATTTTAGGTGTTAATGTGTACATTTTAGGTGGTAATATGTACATTTTAGGTGGTAATATGTACATTTTAGGTGTTAATGTGTACATTTTAGGTGGTAATATGTACATTTTAGGTGGTAATATGTACATTTTAGGTGGTAATATGTACATTTTAGGTGGTAATGTCAATTTTAGGTGTTAATATATACATTTTAGGCGATAATATGTACATTTTAGGTGCTAATATGTCCATTTCATGAGCTAATATGTACATTTTAGGTGGTAATATGTAGATTTTAGGCGATAATATGTACATTTTAGGTGGTAATGTCAATTTTAGGTGTTAATATGTACATTTTAGGCGATAATATGTACATTTTAGGTGCTAATATGTCCATTTCATGAGCTAATATGTACATTTTAGGTGGTAATATGTCAATTTTAGGTGCTAATATGTAGATTTTAGGCGATAATATGTCCATTTTATGAGCTAATATGTCCATTTTAGGTGCTAATATGTCTATTTCATGAGCTAATATGTACATTTTAGTTGGTAATATGTCAATTTTAGGTGCTAATATGTAGATTTCAGGCGATAATATGTACATTTTAGGTGGTAATGTCAATTTTAGGTGTTAATATGTACATTTTAGGCGATAATATGTACATTTTAGGTGCTAATATGTCCATTTCATGAGCTAATATGTACATTTTAGGTGGTAATATGTCAATTTTAGGTGCTAATATGTAGATTTTAGGCGATAATATGTCCATTTTATGAGCTAATATGTCCATTTTAGGTGTTAATGTGTACATTTTAGGTGGTAATATGTACATTTTAGGCGATAATATGTACATTTTAGGTGCTAATATGTCCATTTCATGAGCTAATATGTCCATTTTAGGTGTTAATGTGTACATTTTAGGTGGTAATATGTACATTTCATGAGCTAATATGTCCATTTTAGGTGTTAATATGTACATTTTAGGTGGTAATATGTCAATTTTAGGTGTTAATATGTACATTTTAGGTGTTAATATGTACATTTTAGGTGGTAATGTAATTTTAGGTGTTAATATGTACATTTTAGGCGATAATATGAACATTTTAGGTGCTAATATGTCCATTTCATGAGCTAATATGTACATTTTAGGTGGTAATATGTCAATTTTAGGTGCTAATATGTACATTTTAGGTGCTAATATGTCCATTTTATGAGCTAATATGAACATTTTAGGTGGTAATATGTACATTTTAGGTGGTAATATGTACATTTTAGGTGCTAATATGTCCATTTCATGAGCTAATATGTCCATTTTAGGTGTTAATGTACATTTTAGGTGCTAATATGTCCATTTCATGAGCTAATATGTACATTTCATGTGCTATTATGTACCACTAAGGTACCAATATGTAGCCTTTGGATATAAAAGTGTACCTTTTGAAAAGGTACAGCCCCAGTGACAGCTTTTGTACCTTTTTTTTCTGAGAGTGTAGAGTCTCACAGCAGCGTTATAGTCAGTGATAACAGGAGATTACAGTCACAGAGAGTGTTTAGGCTTTACAGCAGATCTACAATAAAGTTATTGTCCAGATAAATAGTTTTGATTGCCGGCGTGTAGTCTTACTCTGCATATCGACCTCTCCTGATTACTTGTCTGGCCTTGAAAGTTCGTAATATGGGATTTTATGTTTTGTGTTTCAGAGGTCGGTTATTCCTGGACCCCCGTTCCTGTTCGGCGCGTGTACGGTTGTGCTGGCGCTTCTGGTGGCGGTCTTCATCCCGGCTCAACACACTCCGGTCGTGAAGACGTGCAGCACGAGGATCATGACGGAGCCGGTGAGCGGCGGCCCCGAGAACGGCTCCGTTCCTGTGAGTGACGAAGACAACGAGCCTCTTCTACAGGACAGCAGCTTATAGACCACCGAACCCCAGCAAGGTCTCCATTCCAGCAGTGTGTCTGAAAAAGCTTTGTATGAGATGACGTCTAAACGTCTTTTTGGTGACAAGGTCTCATTTGATAACATTGCATTAGCTAACATTAAAGGGATAGTTCACCCAAAAATTTTAATTAGCCCATCTTGGATGCCCTTGAGGTAAGATAAAACATATCAAAAATTAATTTCAAAGTGAACTATCCCTTTAACTGCAGCATTTATTAATCTTGATCAATGTTAGTTAATACAAATACAATAGTCAACATTAGTAGTGGATCAAAAAAGTGAGTCAAAGTTGTCCTACGACAGGTATTGTTCATACTCGTGTTCTGATCCACTTCAAATGTGGACTACTGGTCATTGTTTGTTCATATTAGCCCACAGTGCAAGAACGTTATGTAATGTTTTTAATTTTACATGAACTGAGCATGAAATTTTTAATGTATCATGATTTAACATGGACAAGATTTATAAATGCTGTAGAAGTCTTTTTCATTGTTAGTTCTTGCTACTAATGTGGTAAGCTAATGCTAACAAATGAAACCTTATTCTAAAGATTACAATCTTATTTTTTATCCCTCTGGTTTTGAATCTTTGAAAGAGAATGTGCCTTCTTCATATTTTGGCGTATAGTTTATGTGCTGCCGTGTCTCTGAATGTAAGTGTAATGCTATAATGTATTACTGATGACCTTTAACCTCTGCGCTAAACTTGGACAGACTGCAATAATAAAGTCAGTGTGCAACGTTTTAAAAACACTGCGAAACATGATATTCATTCAAGTCTGGTTTTCCAGCACAAATATCTAAACATTCTTAAATCAAGAGACATTTACTGGAGAAGAAGATAAATGTCTTATTTAATGAAAAGTGCATAAAAATTAATGGTTAAAACAGGACAAAATTTCTGCCAACGTTTCACTTTGAGCTCAGATTATTTCTCTCCACTGTCAGATATTTGTTCTTGTTTTAAACACAAACTCACTCCATTTTCATGCACTTTTCAGTCTTAATATCTTGAAAGATTTTGCTTCTCCAGTAAATCTACAGATTTATGAATATTTAGATATTTGTGCTGGGAAACGTCATGTTTTGCAGGATTCACGTCCAGCGAGACCTCAGCTTTTTTTTGTCAGAAGTTAATAAATAGCACAAAACAGACATAATCATCGTCTTAAAGGGATAGTTCACTTTGAAATTAATTTTTGATGTGTTTTAGCTTAGCTCAATGGCATCCAATATGTAGGTGTCTTTGTTTCCACAGTATTCTGAATTTTGACATTTTTTGGTCAAACCATTGTTGTCTGTCAGTCATATATTAATACAGTTAGGGGGTCCAAATTAAACATGATTTAATGACTCGTGAATATAAGTACACATTGATGGTCTAAGACACGAAACAAGTGGTTTGTGTGAGAAAACGAACAGTATTTATATAGGGTTTTTTTTACCTCTTGTTAACAGCCGTCGAAGTGATCTGAATCAGATGTCCAACTGAACCGAACCGTCTCCAGACGTTACGCCGGAAGTGATCTCTCGCGCCGCGCGTCTACGTCCCGCATTGTTTACACGGAGATTTCTGAAGTTTTACCTTTCACTAAACATATTTAGATATACTGGAAATCGCAATGGAAGACGATTTCGGTATATCTAAATATGTTTAGTGGAGGGTAAAACTTCAGAAATCTCCGTGACGTAGACGCGCGAGAGATCACTTCAGGCGTAACGTCTGGAGACGGTTCGGTTCAGTTCAGTTGGACATCTGATTCAGATCGCTTCGACGGCTGTTAACGAGGTAAAAAACTATATAAATACTGTTCGTTTTCTCACACAAACCGCTTGTTTCGTGTCTTAGACCATCAATGTGTACATACATTCACGAGTCATTAAATTATGTTTAATTTGGACCCCCTTAGCCTCCAGTGTATGACTGACAGACAACACCGGTTTGACAAAAAAATGTCAAAATTGAGAATACTGTGGAAACAAAGACACCTACATCTTGGATGCCCTTGAGGTAAGCTAAAACATATCAAAAATTAATTTCAAAGTGAACTATACCCTTTAAAGTCAGATGCAGCTTTGATAGATGAATTATTACAAAGTAAACTGGATCTATATTCATAATGACTCGACACAGAGCGGCCTCACAACACAACAACACAGGCTCTCGCTTCCAGTCCGAATATTAAACATTTCTGAAATCAAGATCCATTTATCACAGTAGTGGAATTACATAAGATATTAAGTCTTGTTTTCTGGCCAAATAAATAAAAATTAAGCGAGTTGATCTGTTAGGGTCATGATCTGCCAATGTGGTCAGAAAAATAATCTGGTTTCTGTTTGAGTTAACATTATTTTTCTGACACTATTGGCAGATCATTTTGTTTTTTTTCAAGCAAAAACTCACTTTATTTTGATGAATCCCCCTGGAAAACAGGACATAATATTACTACTTTAGTAAATGCATCTTGATTTAATATTTTTTTTAGATATTTGGACTGGAAACGAGACAAATACTGAGTAACAAAAAGCATTTTTTGTGTGCGATTTAATCAATCAATGTATATAATTTCCAATAATCACAGTTACTGATTTATCATTGCTTCCTAACAGAATTGACTATTATGTGAGTATTTAATTAAATTTAATTGTTTTTTTTATTGTATGTTAAACGATTTTCAGTTTCATTGTGTCGTTAGCTTAAGATGATCTGATTGATTGCATTATATGATGTATAAACCGCAGCAATAACAGCATGAACACACACCTAACTCCGCGACGATCACTGCGTTATCAAGCAGGACTGTGTGTGTGTGTTTCAGCAGCACAGAGAACAGCAAACCTTTAATCGCCAATCTTGGGGACCTGATTATGATTATGTATACTTGAAAATGAAGTGTTGATGTGACTGTATTTATGAAGGATAAGCAATCTCGTCGCCCCACTAAAGTCATTTTAGATGTTTTACGATGAAATGCACTTTGTTTTTTAATGATGTCTCGCCTCCATGTCTATGCAGACTCTCAGTTTGTCATCAATGCATTCAGCGCACATTAAAGGAGTAGTTCACTTTAAAAAAACTTTAGCTGATAATTTACTCACCCCCATGTCATCCAAGATGTCCACGTATTTCTTTCTTCAGTCGAAAAGAAATTAAGGTTTTTGATGAAAACATTCCAGGATTTTCTCCATATAATGGACTTCAATGGGGTCCAAACGGTTCAAGGTCCAAAAGACAGTTTCAGTGCAAACTACAAACTGTTCAAAGGGCTTTAAACGATTCCAGACGATGAATAAGGGTCTTATCAAGCGAAACGATCGCTCATTTAATAAATAAATAACAAAGTTTAAGTTTTATAAGCTCAAATGCTCGCCTTGCTCTGTTCTGTGATGCACGTTCGTGACTCTCCTGTTCGAACTCGTTCATCAAAATGAACGAAACTTTTTTCGAGTCAATTGGTTCATTCAACGAACGAAAAGAACGAATTGACTCAGAAATTCGTTCATTTTGAAAATCATATTTAATAAATGTTTCTTGATCATCAGATCCTCATATTAGAGTGATTTGTGAAGGATCATCGTTCATCAAAATGAATGAATCTGTTTTCGATTCATTCTGTTAATTGAATGAACCAAATTCGTTCATTTTGAACCTTGAACCGTTTGGACCCCATTGAAGTCCATTATATGCAGAAAATCCTGGAATGTTTTCATCAAAAACCTTCATTTCTTTTCGACTGAAGAAAGAAAGACATGGACATCTTGGATGACATGGGGGCGAGTAAATTATCAGCAAAAGTTTTTTTTTAAAGTGAACGACTCCTTTAAGCATTGGTTTGCGGATCACAGCAACCAGACGAGTTCGTGAATCAATGTTTCAATAAACCACTTCATATTCCAGGATTGATTTGTGTTTTTCTCCATCGACAGCTCTTAAAAAAATCAACGTTCTTCCTCAGTGTTTCGGTCTCGTTTTCCAGCACAAATATATAAACATTCTTAAATCAAGAGACATTTACTGGAGAGACTGAAGATATTAGGATTAAAAAAAAATCATCAAAAATGTCCTTAACACAAGAACAAATATCCGTTTGAATATTCCACTGGCAGATATTTGTTCTGGTTTTAACTCACTTCATTTTCTTCATATCTTCAGTCATTCTCCAGTAAATGTGGCTTGATTTAGAAATGTTTCGATATTTGAGACAGAAACACTGAGGAAGAACGCCATGATTTGCAGGTTATATTTATGGCAGAAGGCAAAATAGATGAAAACGTTGTAATTGCAATTCATTAAAATGGCTCTTCTTTTTAATGACATTTCTTATAAAACATTTAGTTCTATCAAACAGGATCATAATCATGCTGTTAAACATTTGGTCACATCAAAACAAACTTAATGAGGATCTCCAACGAAAACCAGATCAAAATGGGTTTGGCATCAGCGTTTTAACTAATGATGATAAACGTGAACGTTGTCAGTGTTACACATCTGACCTGCAAATATCTACACATTAAATCAAGAGACGTTTACTGGAGAAGAACAACGACTGAAGATATGAAGACTGAAAAAATGAAGTGATTTGTGCTTAAAACAAGAATAGAGTCAGAAAGAAATCGTATTTGCCCTTTTATATTGCGTTTATTTCTATTTGTTCTTTTTTAAACACGTATATTTTTCATTAAACAAAACTTAACATCTTCAGTAATTTTGCTTCTCCAGTAAATGATTAGTTCACTTTTGAAAAAACGTTTGCTGATAATTTACTCACCCCCGTGTCATCCAAGATGTCCATGTCTTTCTTTCTTCAGTCGAAAAGAAATTAAGGTTTTTGATGAAAACATTCCAGGATTTTCTCCATATAATGGACTTTAATGGGGACCAAACGGTTCAAGGTCCAAATAACAGTTTCAGAGGCAGCTTCAAATGTCTTTAAACGACACCAGACGATGAATAAGGGTCTTATCAAGCGAAACGATCGATTATTTCAAAACTTATTCCAAAAATGTAACTTTTCTAAGGACAAATGCTAGCCTTGCTCTATTCTGTGAGGCGCGTTTGTAACGTCACGTAATACGTAATTACGTTCAAAAGGTCACGGACGGCGTAGACGGAAGTACAGAATCAAAATCGTTCGACATCGTTGTTTTACCTTTTAATTCCTTTTTTTGTAAACGGCGTTTGAGTTAGTTTGCACGTTCAACCAAAGCGTTCAACTTGTAAACACTGACTCTGTACTTCCGGCTACGTCGCCCGTGACCTTTTGAACGTAATTGCGTATTACGTGACGTTACAAACGAGCCTCACAGAATAGAGCAAGGCCAGCATTTGTCCTTAGAAAAGTTACATTTTTGGAATAAGTTTTGAAATAACCGATCGTTTCGCATGATAAGACCCTTATTCATCGTCTGGTGTCGTTTAAAGACATTTGAACAGTTTGCACTGAAACTCTCATTTGGACCTTGAACCGTTTGGACCCCATTGAAGTCCATTATATGGAGAAAAATCCTGGAATGTTTTCATCAAAAACCTTAATTTCTTTTCGACTGAAGAAAGAAAGACATGGACATCTTGGATTACACGGGGGCGAGTAAATTAAAGTTTTTTCAAAAGTGAACTACTCCTTTAAGAATGTTTAGATATTTGGAAAACAAGGGAAAAAAATTTGAAAACAACAAAAAAACAATAGAAAAGTGCTGCTACAACAGAAATGCTCAAACTCATCTACAGTATAACCTGCATTTAAATGTGGATTGCACTCGGAATGAGAGAACTAATAACCGGATCACACTGATGATGATGATGATGATGGTGTGTGTTCTTCATCTTCTACAGCGAGCAGCTGAAGGACACTTTAGTGG